GAATGTGAATGCAGTGAGGTGTTCTAAGGTACACAGAGGAGAGGGCACCAAGAACATGTGTGTCTTTGAGCAACTCCACCTTGGTCACCACCTTGGAGTGGCCACTTAACTGTCACTGGAAGTCAGGACCACTTGAGGAATGGAGGGTCAGGGAAGAACAGCCCTAACTTTTGCCTGTGCCTTGGGAGATTTTTGGCTTCTTGCAATCATTTGCTTCTGGGGAAGGTGGGGTCTTAAATCCACACCTGCAAGTATGTGCAGAAGTGACCAGAAGATTTTAACTGATGCTGCCTGGCACCTTCCATAAATGTGGCAGTTTCATGTCCAACAATGTGCCAAGCTTCATGTAGAGTGGAAGCTTTGGCCGGTGTGGACTGTCCTGTGGGAACTGGGATTCCTATCCTGCCATGTTGGCTCTGGTCCCCAGGACAATAAATTTGTTACTGCTATAGAAACTTGAAATTTTCACCAAAATCAAAACTATAGTATGCAATTTTTCAGGCATGTGAGGTAGACAGTGTGAGTAGATTTACGCCATTCTTTTGGAGTCACTACCAGAATCTTGTCTTCCAGGAAGATCACTTGTTGATCTCACTTTCAAGCTGTGTTTATTTCATGCCTAGAGCACAGGGCAGTACGGGTTTGGATGAGTCTCACCTCTGCTAGCTGCAGGAAGGACAGATCTGTCCTTTCTTGACTATGAAATCCTGTAAGGATCTGGGCCTCCCTCCCTTCCCTGAATGAAATCTGGAGTCCAAAAAGGACTTTATGTCTAGTCCCAAGTGCCCCTTAAACAGCACTGAGAGGAGTTTGCGGATATGTACATCACTGTGTCCTTCGTCGGGTAGCTGATGAGGACCAGGCAGACCCTGGCTCTGTCGTGTCTTGGTCACCATCTCTAATGGAGTTATCTGGGCTCACAGACACAGCTACCTGTGTCTTGGGAGTCTGCATATGGTGTGGTTTCAAGACTTTTGCATTTGTAAGCATTGTTAGCATTTCAAGAAAAGTGGGACCTAATAACACCTGTAAACACTGAGTCCATGTCTTTTAAACAGACATGAAGGGCTAAACCAGTATGTGGGAACTTCTGCAATACTAACGACCTGGAGTATTTGAAAGACTGTGGCTTCCTTCTAATCAGGATACACTTGAATATACAGCAAGAACCCCAAAGGGGTTCTAGTTTCCTATCCCATCCTGTGTAGGTGGAGTGCCCATATGGTGAGTACAGAGATTGCCTAGGTGGTACCAAGGAGCATTCTTCCTAGGTAAAATTTCCATCCACTTTAGCATCTCCCCTGGACATACAAGGAATAGCATTTGTGAGACAGTGACCCATGAGTATCCCTCCTCGTTGTATGGTCTTGAGGGTCCTTTCAATTTGTAGCCGTGCTTTGTGGTGTTGACTGACTCCAGGTATGAAAAGGAAAGATTCTCAACTTCCAACTCTGAAAAACACCACAGTACTCAGAAAAAAGGAGCCCTGAGGGTCATAAATATCTGGCTCTGTGTTAGGACTGAGTGTCCCATGCCCTGAAACAGCTGGGATGTCATCTGTGTGATACATGTCACCTCCTACTCCAGAACCCTCACTCAGACAAAAAAGCATAAGTGGGAAAATTGATGTAATTGTAAAACAAACAAACAAAAAAACAACCTGTGGGTTTCAGTTCAGAAACACAGAAGTCTCCAGTTCAGGAACCACATGTTGTGTACACCAATCCTGTGTTGGAGCAAGAGGAGAAATAACAGCTGGCCTTGCCTCAATTTACATGACATTGATGCTAAAAATAGGGATGGGGTGGCTGCATAACTCGATCCTCTGCAAGTTATTCCTCATTGGTAAAAACTGCTGCTTCACTCTTTGTATGACATTCTGTTCAGGAGAATAATTCCCTGCTGAAGAGCACAGGAAGCCTTTAGACTTGAGGAGGCACTTAGTATTGTACAAAAGAATTGTCATCTCCTGGACTAAACACTCGCTTCTTGCAGCTGTCATCTTCAAACAAGAATCCCCATGATTACCTCCAAGGCAGGTGGCAGTGTTGTGGTTCTGGGTTGATCCCTTTCATCTGGGGCTGCATGTGGGAAGCTTAGCAGAGTTGGGTCTCAGCTAATACGAGTAGTTGAGTGTCATGTGAAGTATGACCATGCCAGATGGCCTGTCTTCACTGAAGACCAGCCCAAAAGATGCAGGTCACACTCAGCATTCCTGGGCTTATCACTTTGGGCAGGAACATTTTGCCTGGCACCTGCTTCTTTGCTTTACTGAGGTGTGTCATGTGGTACCTGGCCACATTATTGGTATGTCTGACCTCCAAGGGGGAGGCACAGGGTTCTGAATTACTCACTTGGGTGCATGTAGGTAATTGTCCTGAATTACTACACTTTCCTAGAAGCACCTTGCTGGGTGTGAGGGGCAAGTGTTCACTATAGAAGCTTACCTTTTCACCCTTTCCTGGGAAAGTATTGTTCTATCCACTGCCAGTGATTGATCTGTGAGAGTCTAACACCAAGGCCCAGTGTGTGCAAGTGTAAGGAAGTCTACTCCCAGTGACTGGCATAGTGATGACTTCCCTAAGTTGCAGTCTCCTCTCCTTGGGACAGGTACCCAGTGCTCAGTGCTCTGCTCCCCTGGGACTGAGAACTGGTGTGTGGTGTTCTGCTCTTCTATCTCATTAGGTTCCCACTTCAACACTTAGGTTTTAAATCATATTTCTTGTTCTTTTTAGAGAACCACTAAACAATAAATCTTGGACAATAAGCTCTTGAGACTGATGTTAAGTGAAATTGCTTAGTTTAATATTTGCCCAAAGAGTTCATGAGGGATTTGTTGCTACTCTGTTCTTGAGAAACCTTTCCCTGGTTTCTGTTTTCTTTTTAGTTCTTCTGTACTTTTTTTTCTTTTATTTTCCCCCATCACATTCTTCCTCTTCCCTTTCCAGCATCACTGATTCCCTCTAATTGCCCTGGCATTGCTCTTAAGGCATCACAGGTTGTTTCTGTATTGCAAGGTCTGAGTGCAGAATGGCCCATCAGTTCCTCAGGAAGCCTTTCTGTGTGCCTTTGGACCCTGAACATGTTGCAAGTAGCCCATCAATTGTGCATATTGGGCTAAAGGATGCAGTACTCAACTTGGGTCTCTTCATAGCTCTTACTATTGATGTAAATCAATCTTCAAAGAGATGACACTTGGATTCAGGTTATTTCAGTTACTCTTCAGGGTAAATACACCAGTGTCATTGCAAGTTTTCAACTTAAAGCTACCACAGCTGACAACCCTTGCTGATTCAGATTCTTGCCTCTGTTGCTTCTTCTCTCCTAGAATATCCAGTTTACAACAAGAAAAAAGTGTTAGCACTGGACAGTTTACCCAAGAAAAGTCAGATCTGGAGCACCAAGATTGAAGAACTCCTGACAGGTACAGGACATCAAATGTCAAGACATGGGGAAGTACATGTTTCTGGTCTTTTTCCAGAGAGCTGCTTATCCTGCTTTGTACATCTTGGCATCTCCTCTTTTTGCCAGATTTCCTGGCTCCATGAGGAACCCAAAAAACCTAGGGAGCTTGGGATGATGAGCTTGTGATCTTTCTGACCTCTCTCATTTTCACTTTCAGGTAAAGTACAGGACTTCTGTGTTGGGAGAGGCTCTCAATTTAGTTATATAAAATAGTAAACTTCTACCTTTGGCTTCTCATGATCCTTGTTTCCAGTCTTAGAAATCAAGCTGTCATCAATATGGAAGCTCATGAGAAACTGCCCAGGTAGACCTTGGCCTCTCTTTAGAATACCAGTGCAGAGTCAGTGTCAGCCTGAGATGCCAACAGTAGAACCTTAGCCTCCCACACCCACAGTACAGGTGGAGAGGCAGGCCCAAGCTACCTGGTCACTGAGTGTCGGTGTCGCTCCTGGCCGGCAGGAAGAACATGCAACAATATCTGGCGGTGGTCAGGCTTTTCTTTATTCTCTCCTTATACAGTCTGCCCCGAAGCCTCTACCGGTCCGCTCTCCGCGGCTCCTTCCGTGCTTCTCCCCTCGAGCGGGAGAGGCACTCGCTTTTATAAGGTTACAGTGGCCAATCAGTTCAAAGCGCGCGATGCGGGCTGATTGGCTAACATCAGTTGTTGCTAGGCAGACTATCTTACAGAGCGGGTTGTTTACCAAGCAGGAAGCAGGAGACAAGCGCCATCTTAGCACACTCGATGGGAGGGGTAATCTAGCTCAGGCTTTGCTCTTTCCTACAGGCCGTATGACCGTCGTGCAAGGTGACCTAGCACTGCTGTGGCTCCCAACATCTCCCCCTACTTTATTTAAAATGAAGAGTGCGCATCGTAGCCCGTCCTGGATTGAGTGCAGAGGCTTATGCCCTAGATGGAGGCCCACCACAGGCCCTTGGCTTAGACCCCGGTCGGCCGTCCCCGGGTCCACCAAGGCCTTGAGGCCCTCGTCCTTTTTTCCAGGGCCAGGAATGAATCTGGACAGAACCTGGATGCACATAAGCATGCACTTATGTCACTTCGTGTAATCCCCTCGGAGAGACACTTAGATCCAGGCGGCATCTAACAATCCAGCGGCTTACGTGCGGTGTGGGGTAGGGCCTGTCTTAGGTCGAGTCGTGCCTGGGAGGCATGCTCTTACCCGTCATTGACTCACCTACCCAGCTTTATGATGTCACCCAGAGAGGAGAATGTGGGAAACCCACAGCATTTAAACTCTGTCATAGGCCAACCGAGCAAGCCACGCGTATGCCTGGGGGTCATTTTGTCCGTTCTGGACCGCCGCCAGAGCCGCGTGGGCAACCATACAGACTTGACGTCGGGCCGCCGTAAGGCGTCCGTTGATAAAAGATGTAACCCACCGGAGCAAGAATGGCCCTATAAGCAAGAGCAGAAGCAAAGAACACAGGGGGCCCAATAGTGGTAAAACATAGGGGAGCAGGCCATTCCAGGCCCCCCAGAAGGGATTATCCTGTAACTCTTTTCTTCTTTTTTCCAGGTCTTCCTGTAACTTCTTCAATCGGTCACGTACGATCCCGGATTTGTTGGCGTAGAAGCAGCATCTTTCCTGCAAGGCAACACAGATACCTCCCTTTTCTACAGTGAGTAGGTCTAGGCCCCTTCTATTTTGCAGAACAACTTCTGCGAGGGAATCAATTTGATCTTGTATCTCTTGAAGGGTGGCCCCGACAAGAGACATGTCTTTCACCAATTGCTGAGATAATTGGGTATATTTAGTTAGTGAAACTCCCACCTGCAGTCCCAGCCGCTAGGGCTCCCGAGACCCCCAGGCCAACCAAGAGAGGCATAATCACTGCATCTCTTTTATGTCTTTTTATAAAAGTGTCCACAGCCGGGATGGGCATAGGCTGGTCCCCAGAGATAACACCTATGTCTGGTAACAAATAAGCCAGGCCGCACTGGCCAGTCCAATTACTGGGCAGGCTGGTATAAGCAAGACCATTACCACAAACGAATACTCTGTCAGTGGGCGCACATAGCGGCAATGAGGCTTCACTTATATTATGTAAGGGGTCACAGTCGGCCGTCAGTACCCCGACGTTGACGTCATAACTATTATTTTGTGGTATCTTTACTTGGCATGTTTCCCATTTTTAATATATCTTCTGTTATTTTTACTTCTATGTTTATGTTTTACACTCTTTTATTACCTTAAGTTCTGGTGTTATGTTTCATACTCACCGCGTGAGGCCCAAGACACCCGCCACTTACGCGTGAGGTTGAGAGGAGTCTAAAAACCCCGTAGGTGCGCACCACCCAGGGCCCAGGCTTATCCTCTACTCACCTGTCCTGCAGCACTGTATTGGAGAATGCAGTCCACCGCCGCGTCTCGGGGTTGATCAATCCCCGTACGGGCCTAATCCAATTAGTTCTTTGAGTTCTGAGCTGTGCTATCAGGTGAATTAATGTGTTCACCATGGGACCGATGCAGGAGACATAAGGGCAAGGATTCCAACAGTGAAGCGTTGAGTGGCTTTCTGGGCACTATATTGCAGGGTGAACCGTCCTCCCCATTATTCTGTAAACTTCCTGTGTTTAGACCCAGTGGTGCTTGCTGCCCACACATGGTGGGCCCCTGCTAAAGTGAGCACTGTCCTTGGTCACAGCCTTATTTATCCATTAGGGAAAAAGAGTGGGGCCATAGGTATCACATGGACCTAATGATAGGAATTGCTGTGACTGCCTTTTTCCCCTCTCAGGCTCACTGACGCAAATAGACAGGTGCAGAAGAGCCATAGAGCCTTGTAAGGACATGATGGAAACTGCCAGAAAAATATAAAAGTGTATCAAAATTCATTCAGCATTCTAGGCCAAGGAAGGAACTTTCACTGGTACAGGAAGTCAATTCTTTACACAGCATGCATCATGGTATAGAAATCTATAAAAAAAAAAAATGTTCAGCTCTATGTAGCAAATGGTGATTTCCATGTGTTTTCCCCCCCGCACTTCCTTCAAGTTCTTCTCTTTGTGTCCTGCAATCTTCACTGTCAAAAAGGTTGATAAAATGTTTCTTTCCAAAAGAATATTGAGCATGAGATGATTTTACTTTCCAAAATTGTCAAACTTCGACTATGCATGTATAAAAATGTAAGTGCCATTGGAGGGTAGGTGAAATTTAAATGCTCCTCATGGGCTATTTCCTGTTTTCTGATCTGCCTTTTACATCCGAGGAGCTCTGCCTGCAGTTCCCCATGCCTTGCTGGGCTGACTCTTTTGCAGAGAGTGTGCAGTCAAACCAGGCTGGGGTTGTGCTCACTCTCAGAGTAGCAGAGAGGATCTGCTTTCAATTCCTGATCTACCAGTTCTAAGACTGTGGCCAGAGCTCTGGGCTGACAGGTCCCTGCTGTTCTTGGAAGCCCTCATGCTTAGGACCACTGTGTTCAGTAAAAAGTAGCTCGAGACTGTGTGCAGTCATCCATAGAGGCTGTGAGGCAAATAAAGCATCTGCTTATTAGTTCAGTTCTCTCCCTTGTTCCTCCTATGGTTTGGGAGATGATCCTTTCTCCTTGTATCTGTCAGTACTTCCTAGAGAAACATATGTACTATGAGGTAAACAAATCTATAAAACTTAAAAGATTGACTTCCAATAGCTGCCCAGATAGCCAGGGAAGGGAGAGTACAAAAGGCTGTCTGCAACACTTGGGATCTTGAAAGATCAGCCAAACACACACAGCTCAATGTGGTGGCCCATGTGAGTCCATGTCAGGAGGCTGAAAGGTCAATGCCAGGGACTGAGGAGTGCACTGAATGCCAGGAGATAGATGATGTCTAATGTGCAAACAGTCTGGAGCTCCCTTGATGGAAAACAGACCAATCCTTATCTTCATTTCCTTTTTATAGAATCCTGATGGTGCTCCTCACTAGGGTGAATTTTCTCCACACAGAATTATGCTGAGTCAATTTACATGGGCACCCAAGCATCACAATTCATCCCTTGTCCACTTCACAACCAAGCATATTTCTTTAAACCATAGTCTTCTAGTATAAAACCAAGTCCATGGTTATACCTGACATGTTATCACCACAAGTGAAAATGCACTAATTCTTCCCCCCCCCGGATCGAAGGCAAGTTTTATTTTGGTGATGCTTGCTTTTAACATTTCATAACTTAAATATCAAGACCATGTTATAATATTTAACTAATGTTAGGTCTATCGATATTGTATTACCTTGGAATTCTATTACAAGAAAACTATTAGTTACAATCCTTGTTTTTTGGCATGGATCTGAGACTTTTTTGAAATTTGCTTTGATCTACTTTTTCTAACTTACTATATTTGACTTAGGGTGGATCCAAGGTTAATGACAATGCACAAAGGCAGAAACAAGTACAAGAAAGAGGCACTGATACTATTGTCTCATTGCTTATGGACAAAATATTGATACATGTATTGACACAGTCTTTGAAATATACATGTTGACCTCTTCAGAAAAGCTAGGTTTATGAACTGTTGGATAATGACCCTATAAAACCAAGTCCGGCTAATCACACAACTTCACTTCTGCAAAAGGGAATGAATCATTCCCAGAACAAGAAGATAACTACTTTGAAATGTGTAGCTGGCCTAGAAAATATGGAGGGGAATGGGCTCCATTATGGCAAACTAGATGAGCAGATGGGGGCTTTCCAAGTTGTCAGCTTTCAGTTTCTCAGACCCAGGTTATATATATAAGCTAAAATATTAACTTGGACTATTGATTGTGATAGGTATATGGTGAGTTTAATTGATAATGTGGACTCGGAGAAGGAGTGGTTTACCTGGAAATGAAGACTCCTGTGATATAGCCTTGTAACCCATGTCTAGAACTCAGTTTTGCATTCTCAAGTGTAGACAGGTGTTTCTGAGAGAGATTATGTGAAACTGGGTTAGGGATAAATACAGCAGGTCTCTTGATCGGTATTTGCCTAAAATTCATTCTAGAATTCACCATGATACTGAGTAGATGCTGTTCATTTTATGCTAGCAATTCAGATCATTGGATTTCATTGGAAATATGGAAAAATATTTGGTTGAGTGAGTGCATAAATGGCAGCAATGTTGCTGATTAAATGTAAAGTCATACAGAAAACTACCTGGGTTCTTAACTACAGATGAGTGTCCTCAACTGGAGCTACAGTTTCTCTACAATTGTTTCAGACTTCTGACCCTGGCTGCCATCTCCCTCACTTCTCACTGTAAACCTTACCCTCACCTATTCAAGTTATGTCAAATCTAGGGTGGCTCAAGGGAACTTAGTGTTGGTGCAAAATTGTGCCTAACATTTTCATTTAATGAATCTGTGTCTTATGCATTAGGTATAGGACAACAATGTGTGGGAAATGATACTCCCAACATACTGAGAACTTTGTTCTAGCTTCTCTTATTGCACTCTGCTTGGCATAAATTATTTCAGATTATAAGGGCAGAGGGCCAGTGAAACTCCAAATGTGGCATGAAAAAATAGGGAAATGGTCACCTTATCTTAAATTTCACACAGGACCCATGGAAAGTGAAGAAATGTGAGTGTCCCCCACATTGACATTGTAATTGGACATCTGGGCTCTTTAGTCTCAAAAACAAGCTTAACCTAGAGCTTCTTGTGGCAGTAGTCTTAACTCCTTCAGTCTCATCATTGTAATAGCCTAAGTATGATTCATGGATTAAAAAAATCTAAACAATACTGTGAGAGGTGTTGATGTTCTAGGTAATAACATACAGTCAGGCGTTTGGGCCTGCACCAGTTCATCGGGCTTGCATGCTTGGACTTTTCCACTCATGTCAAATAAGCACAAGAATTGAGCTTCCTTCTCTTTGGGGGCCTGTGTGTCTATTTCTTCATGTACTTAATGCATGAAACAAGGTTTCTGGAACAGTGGGTGATTCTGACTCAGCCACTTGGATTCAGGTTCATAGAGTATGAAAATTCCACTGCAATGTTCTGGTGTGGTGACTGAGTAGAGCTGCAAGGTGAGAGCCACTGGTGACACTTGGAAAGAGACATTGATAAGACAAGAGGGCTGAATGAAGAATCACTGGATCATCCAGAACAAGGCTGGTCCTAAGCAGTTCTGTTTTTCAAAGACTTTATTTACCTTGTGCTCCATGTATTCAGGATATTCTTGTTGCTTTAGTGTGTAGAGGTGGGAGAGTGATATTGCTGTAGAAATCAGAATCTTTTTTGAATGCTCATTAATATAGTCACATTTCCCTAGTCTAATAAAAATTCTTACACAGAATGAGGAACACATGTAACCAGAAGCCCTGGTGTAAATTATTTTTATGTCTAAAGTTGTTGGACAGGCCCCCCAGCTGACAGTGAACATCTGATTTAGAGACGGTGCTAGCTTAGCATTTAGGAAAGCACTGGGAGTTGGGAGGGAGTAGGAAGCTGTTACCTCCTTGCCCCTTCCAGGAAGGGTACAGAAGTTTCTCTAGCTTGTGTCTCACAAAGTTGAATACAACCACTGAAGGCACATTCATTTGCTAATTCCCACTCACATTATCTAACATGATAAGATGAAATAAATACTGAAATGACACAGATAATGCTGGAATCATGAACAAGCTGTTCATTCTGATGTAAATGCTCCTGTGTTGTT